TAATTTCAAGGTTTAAATGATAGCCACATAACAATGCCCAGAAAGACAAAGCCTTGCTTCATTTAGGTGAACCTTTATCATAAAATATCCACATCAAGACAATGTATTCTTTGGGATATATATGTATATAGATAGATAAATAGATATATACACAAAGACACACTTACACACACACACATATTGAAAGGGTAAAGTTTCTAAGCTGCAAAGCCTGAGTTAAAATGTAAAGGACTAGATATTGTAAAGTTTCTGAACTGCACACAGAACCTGAAATTCCTGAGGCAGTTAAGACAATGCCCGGTAGTGCCCACTTAGTTGTTTAATAACCTAGGACCCTGTGCAGCTTGGCACATAGGCACCTCAGGGCCCAAACCAATCAGTTTGAATGTATCCCCCTCCTTAGGAATGACCTATCACTCCAGCCCAACCTGTTCCCGCCAATGAATGTGCTAATCATGTTTGAGAGTTGTTGTTCAATTTTCCCGCGCCTCATGATGATTTGCTCTGATGTATGCAAAGCCCCTGCCCTCCCCAAAAAGTGTACTTAAGCACTGCTCAACCCCTGCTCAGGGCTCTTGGCCGCTCTCCCTTCTTGAGTGAGCCTGGAGCCCCAGCGCACTGGATTGGATATAAACCCCCTTTTGCTGTTGCATGAGTGGGTCTCTTGGTGGTCTCTTCCTCTGACGTTCGCCAGACCCTTACAATATCTTCTATGACAATGCAGAATTCCCACTATTACCCCTATTGCACTGATCTTTCAAACAGATGGGAATTAGCAGTATTAAATGAATTAAAATAGTCCTAATAGAACCTTTTTTTTAATGCACCAGTTCCAAGTACATCTGGCTAAAGAAAAAGCACAGTGAGTGTTTGATCTGAGCGTTTAATCTTGTTTCGATTTTCCAAATTCATCTATGGGAGTTTGTTTGGAGATAATGGATGTTGCTTTCAGTAGTTTCTTCTGGTTGTATTTCATGATTCTACTTTGTGTGTTTGTATGTGTGTATGTCCATGTGTGTGCAAATACACTTGGAAATAGAATTGACCAGTGTACAGTTGTAAGTGCTGAAAGCCAAAATACTTTTCAAATTCAGTTCTATAGCAATTTGTTTAGAAATTTCTGTAATTGAACAAGTCACAAGTTCATATTAATGGAAGTAACAGAATTGATGGAAAAGAAAAATTCCACAGTTCCCACTGTATTTAGTGACTTCTTTTATTTGCATATCCTTTTATTACTGCCCTGCTTATATCTCTTTTTCTGTGTATTTAGTTATAATGTAAACACAATCTTCTTCCTACTTTTTAACTTAATATTAAAACATTTGCCTGGCTATCCCACTCTGTCTATACCCAAAGACTTAAAATCAGCATACTCTATTAGCTCAGCCACATCAATGTGTATAGCAGCTCAATTCACAGTAGCTAAATTATGCAACCAAACTAGGTGCCTTTCAGTTGATGAATGGATACAGAAATAGGTATATAGACACAATGTAATATTACTCAGCATTGAAAGAGAATAAAATTATGGCATTTGCAGGTAAATGGATGAAGTGGGAGAATATCATGCTAAGAAAAGTAAGTCAATCCCAAAAAACAAGAGGCTGAATGTTCTGTATGATAAGTGAATGATTATCTGATCCATAATGGGGAGGGGGGCATGAGAAAAATGGAGGAACTTTGATTGGGTAAAGGGGAGGAAATATTGGTAAGGGGCATTGGGGTAGGCAGGAAAGATGGTGGAATGAGATGGATATTATTACCCTAGGTAAATGTATGACTGAACACATCATGTACAACCAGAGAAATGAAAGTTGTGCTGCAATTGTGTAAAATGAATCAAAATGCATTCTTCTCTAATATACACCAGAAAAAAAATGGTGTGTGTGTGTGTGTGTGTGTGTGTGTGTGTGTGTGTGTGTGTGTGTGTGTGTGT